ATTGGTATTGTTGTTTGTTTGTCCATTGTTCGCTGATCCATTTGATGCATTTGGTCTGATATTGTTTTGCTGATGCGGATTTCTGGTATTCACATTATTACGATCTCGCCAATTATGTTCGCGATTATTCTGGTAATTATCCGGCAAATATGACTTGGGATATCTGGTGCTAATGTGTCTCTCCTCTCCACAGTTATAACAGGTAAGTGGTCTTCTATTATTTTGCCAATTCCTTGTTGGATAATCATTCTGGCTCGTAGTCTGGTAATTCTGCGACGTTTCTAAATGTTCTAACCTACGGGTTAGTACACGGAGAGCTGTCGTCAATTCATCGAACTGGAGATTGGAGGAGCTGTTTGATTGATGATATGGTCTTGTCACTGGTTCGGATTCGGTCTCTTCGGCTTTCTTGGCTACTTCGATGGTATTTAACAATGTACCGTCAGAATTTATTTTCACCCACTTTCGCAATTCTGGTTTTAGTCCACGACGGTAAGTTCTAACACGACTTTTGTTGTGTATATGATTTTCTGGGTCTGCTTTCCGTAGCAGTTCGTAGAATTTGTCGGTATATTCATCTACCGTTCCTGTTTGTTGTAGGTCTTCCAACTCATCCCGCCATTTATCTAGCTTTTGATGAGTCCGAAACTTCAGTGCGAAGTGATGTTTGAAATCATGTTCATCATGATGATTGTTTGTCCAGTCGGTTAATGCAGTGGCATTGTTCGCTGCTCGTTCGTCAAACCAGATAGCAGCTGGTCCTTCCAAATATCCTCGTACGATTCTAATCCTTCTTGCGGGGATGATTCCGTTCGCTTCTGTGGCTACCTCGAAGTCTTTGAACCATGCAACTGGGTCTTGATCACCTCCACGGAATTTCTTCATTGGAATAATCATCTTTTCCACGGCTCTGGCATTCTGTCCGTTCAACGCGACTGTCAGTTGCTGCACGGCGTTCAACACGTTGTTAACGTTGGTCATGTTTTCTTGTTCGTGGGATGGGTTTTCTCTTTGTTCGGATTCATCGTCTTGTTCTTTGTCAGTTTGGCTTGTATCACTATCTTCGTTGATAATTGTTTCCTCGATGTAGATTATTTCTTTGTCGTCGTCGGTGTGTGAGTTTTCTGAACTAAAGAAATTGATTAGATTCCCGTCTTCAATTGATTTTTCGGATCTTCTTTCTTCATCACTTCCTTCGGTCTGCGTTCCAGCGTCAATTGTTTCAGAGTAACACTCGTTGGAATCATTTTCTTCTGGATTCTCATTGTCGGAATTGTTCTGCTCGTTGGTGTGGGTTCCAACGAATCTTTCGTAGGCGAAATTAATGAGCCGAATTTGATCGTCTACTACTAGATATTCTCCAAACAGGACGGTATTCAATAAACAAATAATTCTTTGGCGGATTATGGTCGGGTGAACTTCGCCGTAATTGTAATCAACCAGTTCTTGGAACGTCTGTTATGAAATACGGTTATACGATTTTGCTCCAGCGGTTTCAATCCAAAGCCAAAATTGACGGAAAGGAAGAGTGTGTTCTTGGAAAGGGGAGTAACACAATGAGCAATAGGGTTGTAACGATGTGTTTCACTCTTCTCCAGGGAGATGTTGTTCTAGATGATTATTAATCAGTTCGCCGGTGAATGTGTAAATCTCGTTCATTCACCGTGGCAGAATTTTTCTCAAATTTCAGAATATGGATGAGTAAAATTCCACAGAGGGGACACCAAAATGTTATGACTACTCTTTAATTATTGTAATTAGAGAATAGTGAATAACACAAGAGTTTGAACAAAGACTGAATGATTTAC